GCAGCAACAGCAGCAACAGCAGCAGCAACAGCTGCTCCCGCTGGGCCTACTACATACACCAGCACTGCTGTACGAGGCCTTGCTGGGGCTGCCTAGCCCCATAGAACTTCTGAATATATATAACTATGTATTTGTGCATGTTTATATATTTATTATTTTGTTTCTTTGAGCGCGCTTCCATGAATTTGTCTAGCACGCCCCAGGCCTTGCCCCCGACACTGCAGTATATATATAAACTCTCTCGTGGGGGGCTGGCGGAGCTTTGTATTCTGTCTTTCGTTAGTATTACATTTATTTCTACTTGCATGCGGGCTGGCAACAGAGAGCCAAGTGCGTGTTTAACAATTCTATACAGGGGCAGCATGAGCGTAGCCACAAGGGCTTGGTGTGCCTGCATGAGTGTTGCAGCTCAGTGTGTGAGCTGGGTTTCTGTATTTCTACTTGTGTATAGGCTGGCTGTGTTGAGCTGAGTAACCCTTCAACAACTGTATGCAGTGTCAGTGCATGCATGCATCTTCGTTGTTCATGCGTGTGGGGCTGGCTTGCAAGCCAGGTGAGCTGCAACTCCTCTGTTGCCGTTTCTTCTCTNGTTGTTCATGCGTGTGGGGCTGGCTTGCAAGCCAGGTGAGCTGCAACTCCTCTGTTGCCGTTTCTTCTCTCCAGGCCCCAGGCCCTGGGATTGCATTGGCTGCCTGCTGCACCTTGACACTCTAGCAGCTCGCGAGTGTCCTCGTATAAGATTCAGGTTTCTCGTGATACCCGCAGCAGCTGCTGCTGTAGGTTGTGCTGCAGCTGGTGACAGGCTGCTGCCTCTGCTTTCTATCACCAAGCTCTTGAGCGGCTGTGCTGGGGGCGGCTGGGTGCGAGCGACAATATTAAGAAGCTCGCCGAGTGTATAGACTCTTGCAGCTAGCCGCAGGCATCGTTTCTGTACTTGGTGTATATGGTTGAGCGTGCTGCTGTATCGTGTTCATAGAAATTCACCCCCAAACCTAAACCCCCTATAAGAAGGGGTTTATAACAAAGGGGCCATATAAAAGCAAAGTTTCCTCGTTTCCAGAACGCATGCAATTCGTTGAAGTTTTCTGAGTTTCGCTGTGAAGTAGGATCATAGATAGATTGGCAACTGAAAAAAAAAGTAGAATTACAAAAGTATAGTCAGAGGAAGTTTCTTATAGAGCACAACAGTGCAGTATATTAAATATTCGTGTTCAGAGCTCTCATGGTGGACTGCACGGCATAGAGGGTAATACAGAATACGTGATCAGGTAAACATAATCATATAAACTCCA